CATCGTCCTGTGTAGTAGATTAAACAGCTTGAACACCTCAGTTTTAGATATGTCTGGTGCTGTTCCTGGAATACACTCCTGCACTCTGCATTGAGCAAAGGTTGATTTCCCACCTTCATGGTAACAGTAAGCATGGAATAACCCAGGCCATGAGTGTTCACCTTATCTATGCCCCTGATGATTTAGGGTGCAGTTGAAATTAATTCTTCTGCTGCTGATCACCTACAGTGTCTCGTGGATGTTCAGTTTTGAGTTGCTAGATCTGTTCAGTGTCTATCCTATTTAGCATAGTGGTACTGCCACGTGGCATGATGGATGATATCCTCAATATGAAGATGAGTTTCATCTCCACAATGACTGTGCGGTGGTCACTCCGACCAAAATTGGTAAGGATGAGATCAAGTAGATTTTTCCTTCTTGTTGGTTCCCTTGCTGCGCAGACAGTCTAGCAGCTATGTCCCTAAGGACTCAACATGCTCAGTCAGTAACAGTGGCGATATTCTTGGTGACGGACATTGAGATATTCGCACTCAAAGCACATTCTGTGCCCCTGCCACCCTCAATGCTTCCTCCAAGCAGGTTTCAACAGAAGGATTACTATGTTGGAAATATATTGTCATTCCTTCATCATCACTGGGTCAAAATACTGTAAATTTCTACCTAACAGCACAGCACATGTACTGACATGAGATGGACACTAGCAGGTCAAGAAGGTTGATCAATATCATCCTCTCAAGGACACTTTAAGATAAGTAAGAAATACTGTCCTTGCCAGTAATGACCACATCCCATAAAAGCAAAGAAGGGCTTGTACTTATATTGCGTCTTTCTCAAAAGGCACCCCAAAGCAGTCCCTGAAGTACCATTGGAGTGTAGTGACAGCTTTGTGATGTGGGAAATGGGGCAGTGAATTTGTACACAGCAAACTCAAACAGCAAAGTGTTAGAAAGGATTGTGTCAACTTGGGTGTTGTTATTGTAAGGCCAGTCAGATCACACAGACAGCAGCCAATGGGAGGAGGAGATCTGGTGTAGAAAATGAAGTCACCAAAACAAGTCTTGTGTTGTCTATTCCAAAAATCTGCTATGCAACTACTTCTGACAATATCACTGATATAGTAACAAAGAAATGAACAATACAATGCAATTCAGCTCAGGACATTAGAAATCAGGGTGCAAGTAATCATCAATTCATTGGAAATTAGGTCATAATTATGCAAACTAATGTGACTCTTCATCTGTTTCCCTTTCTGTAATGTCTACTGCCCTTTATTAGAAGGTTTTCCTTAAGATTGTCAGGATTGAAATTTGGAGATGGACTTTTGCAGAGTTTGTTGATCCTGACGCACACCAATTCTTGTTTAGTTTGGGTGCTGCAGTCTTTGAACATTTGCACACCAGTCTGGATTGTTAGTTATTATTCTCAATTCTCATTCTCATTCTCATGCACACGGCAGCAGATTGTGGTTCTTGGCCCAGTTGGCACATCTTACTGGAGAGAAACTGGTCTACAATAGTGTTCCCTGAACCTTGCTTCAAAATTCAGGTCCAAATTCCTTGGTAAGCAGGAGTAACAAAAAAAAATACATTGGCTTGAATTTCCTGGAAAGTGTTTTTCATGCGAGTGTCAGTTGGCGCAGTTGGCTGGATGACTGGTTTGTGATGCAGACTAACACCAACAGTGTGGGTACAACTCCTGTACTGGCTGAGGTTCCCATGAAGGACTCTCTTTTTCAGCCTCTCCCTTTGCTGGAGGTACGGTGACCCTTAGGGTAAAACATTAATGAAAGAGCAGCCCTATAGGACTATGGTGACTTTACTGACCTGTCCAATAATCCAAGGGATGAGGGTTCCATGAAACACATCCATATCCTTGTTTCATCTTCATCATGATGGGCTGTAGCGAGCAATTAAATGTCTCAGCTCTGGTTCCACGTGCCACAGCTAGAACTGCTGTGCTGTGATACTGATATAAAGGAATTAAGAACTTGTTCACAATAATTTTGCAAGCACAGCCATTCATTCAAGAATTCTCTGCTTTTTTCTCCTCAAGTGGATCTCCAGCAGGATGCCTCACCCTGTCTCTCTAGCCTCTTCAAGGTACAGAAATGGCCCAAAGCATTCATATAGTCACTCAGAAATCATACCCTAGCATCAGTCAACCCCTTTAGAGAGTGTTTTTCTTTTAATTTCCTTCCTGAATGTAACATTAGTAATATTAGTAATTTTACTACAACTCCCTGAATTGGCCTTGTGATGGGTCTCATCAGCAATTCTTGTAACTTGCTGGGCCATGTCTGAAAGCACTAAGGATTAAGTGTGGGAAAGATCAGCTTGCCTTCATTGCAGGATGTTAGAACTGGAGAAAAAATGAAATGGGACTTAGGGGTTCAAAGTCAGACTCTTAAGGTTACCATGCAGGTTCCGTTGGCAGTTAGGAAGGTAAATGCAATGTTAGCATTCATTTTAAGAGGGCGAGATTACAACAGTAGAGATGTACTGCCAAGGCTGCATAAGGCTCTGGTCAAACCACATTTGGAATCTTGTGAAGCAGTTTTGGGCCCCGTATCTGAGGAAAGATATGCTGGTGTGAGGAGGTTCACAGGTGGTTTACAAGATTGATCCCAAAAATGAAGAGATTGTCACATGAGGATCTCGCTGAAACTTACTGAATGTTGACAGGCCCGAATAGTCTGGACGTGGAGAAGATGTTTCCACGAATAGGAGAGACTAGGAACTGAGGACACAGCCTCAGAGTGAAGGGATGACCTTTTAGACCTGAGATAAGGAGGAATTTCTCAGCCACAGGATGGTGAATCTAAGGAACTCATTACTTCAGAGGGCTTTGGAAGCCAATTCATTGAGTGTATTTAAGACAGAGAGATAAAGGTTCTTGATTAGTGAGGGGAAGAAGGGTTATGGGAAGAAGGCAGGGGAACGGGGTTGAGAAATATATCAATCATGATTAAGTGTTAGAGGGACTTGATAGGCCAAATGGCCTAATTCTGCTCCTATATCTTATGGTTTGCATTTTATATAATGCATTTGACAACCTGTGGATGTCTCAGAGCTCTTTATAGTTGATGAAGGACTATATTTTAAAGCAGTGTCACTGTTGTGGACCAGGTAAAGTTGACGTTGCTTGAAGGACAAATATAGACCAGGACACTGGACCGAATCCCTGTCTTCAAAATTGAGATCTGGGATCCATTACTTCCACCTGAGGAGACTTGTAAGATATTGTCTCACCCCAAAGGAGGCATCATCAATGATGTAACACTCACTCAGAACTGCAGTCAGTCTAGATTCTGTGTTCAAATCACAGGAATGTGTTTCGAAATCACCACCTCCAAGATGAGAATGCTCCCATTGAGACATCGCTGTCGCACCCATACCTTATCACATATTGCCAGCTTCACTGACATAATTTTAAAATCCCCAGCTTCACACCATCACACAAGGAGACTGAAGGGTTGGAAGGAGGCCTTTGTCCCCTTCTCAGGGTGAATTTATATTGACAATAAATCTGGGCACATTCTGACAGCACTTATCAGCTCGCTGGCTCCAGAAAAAACGGTTGAAAATTAGGAGCAGGAATACTCCTGATTGATCCCAAAAATGCAACAAAATGTGGTAACACAAAGGTTCTGTCAGTCTCCCTGTTGTGTTGCAATTCCAGAAAGATGAGGGTAAATTTCTTCATCTCAATGTGTTTGCTTATCTGCAAAAGGATACAATTTCGCCAGTGGGTGAGTGACGTGGAAGAGTACGCACAATGGAGGACAGCATACTATCCCAGGATGCAGTTCCCCTAAGGACAATAAAGCGAATACAATTGATTGGACCAGCAGTAAACAGTTAATCCACACGGTCATGGAGCCAAGTCTAAGGGGATTAAATATTTGAAAGGAGGAGGAGGAAAGTCCATTTAGTTAATTGATCCTGTTCAATATCAAAACTACCCCGCTTTGACAAATTCTCTTTGGGGGAGACAAGACCTCAATACATTCAGTTTTGATGGGTCCAGCTTGAACCTATAACCTGTTACCTCAGAAACAAAAGCTGCCATTAAGGTAAAGTTAATACTTTGGGACTTGTTTGATTTGAAGACTCTCAGACTTAGTTTTCATGCTCATTGGACAACTGGCGAATGAAATCGTAAATCAGAACATGAGCACTTAACAGCCAAGCTAGGTAGGATATGAACTGCTTATTGAGTGACATTCCACACTCCCAGTTATGTAGCTCAGTCATGCAAAGTTACAATGCTGTATCTTTATCAAGAAATGACCAGTTGCTCAATGCAATGAGCACGGACACCGTGGTAACATTCTCACCTCTGAAACAGATTTGGCTGGTTTTGGGGCTGTCTCCAGAAAACACAACAAGTGCTTCATGTAATGGATTCTTGTGCAGAGGCTACAACTGTGTTCAACTGATACAGGTATTATCTTCCCCCATCAGATCATAAAGAACAGCTGGAGTTCTTCCACGTGGCATACAGCTCGGTAAAGCGATGGTACTTAAACATCAGCTCAGTTGAAGAAGGGTCTAGGCCCGAAACGTCAGCCTTCCTGCTCCTCTGATGCTGCTTGGCCTGCTGTGTTCATCCAGCTCTACACCTTGTTAGCTCAGCTACAATACCTAGGATGTGACTCAAAAATTTCATGTGGCTATTAAAAGTAGTCTCACCGGACCCAAAACGTTAACTCTGTTTTTAACTTCACAGATGCTGCCAGACCCGCTGAGCTTTTCCAGCAACTTTGTTTTTGTTCATGAAAAGTAGTCTGTTTGGCCTCTTGAGCCTACTCCACAATTCAACAGGATCATCGTTGATCTGACCATTCTCACATCCACTTTCCTGCCCTTTCCCCATAATGCTTGCTTCCCCCACTCTTTAAGTAATCCAATCTGCACCTGCCTGAGTGTATTTGCTGGGACAGTTATGAGGCAGCTTTATTCTGTGTCTAAGCCATGCTGGTCTTTCCATCAGAATGCTGTATCTAGCTGATGAATTCAAAATTCTCACCAGGTCCAAATCTGATGCTCTGATTCTAACATTCTATTACCAATTCAAACTTTCACTGAGGTCTTCTTAACCCATCAATTAGCCAGTTTGACAGACAAGAGTCAGATTGGCTTCCTACCTCTTGTTCATCTGGCTTGTATATAGGAGCTTGGTAGTTGGCACAGGGCAGACAGTTCTCAGCAGCTCCCAAGGTTCCAGACCAATGCCGACACCACTTCAAATAAAAAATACACATACAAACCAGTTAGACAATGAAACAAATCAACTCATGTTGCTGTGACCCTTCTGCAAATGAAAGCCCAAACCATGAACACTATCAGATTGTTGTAACATTATGGGTTGCAGAGCCAGGTTCAGAAAGGTCCATGTACAGAGTTACTACCAGGATGATGAGATGGGTTCAGGTCAGAGGCCCTTCAGCCCATTTTAGGTTTCATTGTTCCTCGATAAAAGCTACTGAGTCCAACTCCTACACCAACTCTCCTGCTGAGTTGAGAAATTAAGAAAACAATATTTAGCCTCTTGTTGATAGTTATCCAGTGACCCCAATGTTCAACCGGTATCATGGGAGATTGTCTTCAAATGCATTGAAAAGTCACTCTCAGCAGAATCCTTTTAACAAGCCTTACTGAGAAACTGTACATAAGGGGGATGAAGGACTTGAACTACAGTCTGTTAATTAGTCAAAATTTATTGCTTAGCCAGGAGTATGAACTGGTCACTTGCATGAGATATCAGGGGGCTTCCAGTGTAACCAAACAAAACCCAGTAACAGTCCTCACTTATAACAGCAAACTGAGAGAAAAGTAGCATAGAAACATAGAAAATAGGGGAAGGAGTACACCATTCGGCCCTTCAAGCCAGTTCTGTCGTTCGACATGATCATGGCTGATCATCCAACTCATAATCCTGTTCCCAAAGGCATTGATCCCTTCAGCCCTAAGGACGAATTTCTACCTGCTAAATATCTAACTGCTCCTTGAAAACATATTGACCTCAACTGCTTTCAGTGGCAGAGAATTCCACAGGCTCATCACCGTCTGGGTAAAGAAATTGCTCTTCATCTCAGTCTTAAATGGCCTACACCATATCCTTAGATTGTGACCCTTGGTCTGGAATGCCTGGTTAATGGGAACAGCCTTTCTGCATTAATCCTGTCTAGACCTATTTGAATTCACTGGTTTTTTGTTTGAAGACCTTTATCAAATTTTATTCCCACCTCATTTTTCTAAGCTCCAGCAAACAGAATCTAAACCAATCCAGTCTCACTTCATAATGTTAGTCCTCTTGTCCCAGGAATCAGTTTGGTAAACCTTCATTTCATTTCCTCTAATAGCCAGACATCCTTCCTCAGATAACGGACCAAAATTCCACACTCCAGGTGTGGACTCACCAAGTAAAAACAGAAAGAACTGCGGATACTGTAAATCAGGGACAAAAATAGAAGTTGCTGGAAAAGCTCAGCAGATCTGAGGAAGGGTCACCAGACCTGAAACGTTAACTCTGATTTTTTCTTCACAGATGTTGCCAGACCTGTTGAGCTTTTCCAGTAACTTCTGTGGTTGTGGTCTCACCAAGGCGCTGTACAATTGCAGCAAGGCGGTAGCAAGGCATCCCTGCTCCTGTATCCGAATTCTCTCACTATAAGGCCAGCATACCATTTGCCTTCTTCAAAGCCTGTTGCACCTGCGTGCTTACCTTCAGTGACTGGTGCCTTGCACTTTCCCCTTTCTCGATCTATCACCTTTCAGATAATAATCTGCATTCGTGTTTTTCCTACCTCACACTTATTCACATTATACTTCATGCATGTGCCCAGTTACTCCACTTGCCCAAATCACACTGAAGCATATCTGCAGCTCCCTCACTGTTCACCCTCCACCCAGCCTTGCATTGTCTGAAAACTTGGAAATATTACATTTAATTCCCTCATCTAAATTATTAACATATATCACAAATAGTTGGGGTCCTAGCACTGATCCCTGTGGTACTTCACTCATCACTGGCTACCACTCAAGACATAAACCTGCTTGTACCTACTCTTTGTTTTCTTCTGCTAACCAGTTCTCTATCCATCTCAGAACACTACCCAATTCTATGGGCCTTAATTTTACATTAAAATTTTATATCAGCATAAGGAATGGGACATTATTAAAAGTCTTCTAACGTCCAAAAAAAGCCACATCCACCAGCTACCCTTTGTCAACTCTCCTGGCTACATCCATGAAAAATTCCAGCAGATTTGTCAAGCATGATTTCCCTTCATAAATCCATGCTGACTCTGTCCGAGCCTGTTTTAGGACCTAAACTCTCCGATGTCCCAGCCCCCTACCCCACACACCAGGCCTTGCTATCACATAGTCTGCCTTTACACACTACCCATTGTTAGTCACTAACAGTCCGCATTAACAGCTATTCACCCTCCTAGCCAGATTGTTATCCACTCCTTTGTCTATCCAACTGCTCTTCTCTCTCTTCAGGCTCCATCTTATCATTTACTCCCTACTCCATCCCCTTCCCTATTTTCTGCATATAAACCAACATTTTCCCAGCTACCATCAGTTCTGAGGAAGGGACACCAGACCCGAAACGTTAACTTTGATTTTTTCTTCACAGATGCTGCCAGACCTGCTGAACTTTTCCAGCAACTTCTGTTTTTGTTCCTGACTCTGTCTGATCCTGTCACTGTTTCTAAGTGCTATCCTATTAAATCTTTTATAATGGACTCAGGGTGAGGGAAAATTATAATCCCAACTTTTCAAACGCTATTTGATTATCACTCACAGTGTTTGACCTTTGAGGGTTGTTTTAATTAAATTGATGGAGATTGATGGAGGGTTGGACAGAGCAGATAGAAACAGGAATTGATTGAGTGGTCCAGATTGAGGGAACAAAGAAGATTAAATGTAAAAGATTTTAGGTAGAGAGCAGAAGGACTTTTTTAAAAATAGAAGGTTTGAGTCAATAGTTAAAAAGAGGCAATACCAGTATCAAAGAATGGTTTAGACTGGTTGTTGAAGTGCCATAAAAGAATTTGGGAAGAGAGTAATCATATAGATGAGGATTAGAGCCTGTGTAGAGGAAAAACTGATTGGATCAAATGGCCTTGTCCTTTTTGTAAACCCCATGTAATTCTGGGACCTGGCTAGGTTTATGTCCCTCAGGAAGGTTGAGCTTGCTACAGTCCTCTCATTCCACCTACTCCCCTGAAGACCTTAAGCTTTCACCGAGGTGCATTCCTAAAGATACTTTTGCAAAATTAGCAATTGGCCAAAGTCACTGTGTGAGCATGGGCAGTGAATGTTAGAAAGCTGTTCGACCATGTGGGCTGAGAATGTGGAGGCAAGGCCTGGAATAACTGTAATCAATTTGTGCAGAACATAACGACAGATCCCCAGGGAACAAAGTACAAACAAGTTGAGAAGCCTAAGACCACAGGTCGCAGGGCAAGGAGTAGGCCATTCATCCCTTTGTCATTCAATAACATCAGGGTTGATCTGGCTGTGGTTTCAACTAAACTCTCCTCTGCCCCCAAAGCCCTTGACTCCCTTGTCTATTAAAAATTGATCTAAATCAGACCTGACTAAATCCAATGATCCAGCCTCAACTGCTTCCTGAGGAAGGGAATTGTTCAGGCTGACCACCTCCAGAGAAAAACATCCTCCTGCTCCATCTTATAAGGTAGGTATCTATTTTTAAACTCCTCTCCCTAGTTCTAGCCTTCCCCACAAGATGAACCATCCTCCCATTATCAAGTCCCCTTAGGATATAATATGTTTCAGCAAAATCACTTCTTTTTCTGCTGAATCCCAAAAAGTATGGGACCAACCTTTTCAACTTTTCCTCATAAGAAAAACCCTGCATTCTGGGAATGAGTCAAGCGAACCTTCCATAAACTGCTTTTTGCACATTTATATCCTACTTGAAACAAGGAGGTTTAATCTGTACAAAGTGCTTCAGATGTGGTCTCACCAAAGCCCTGCGGTAAGCTTTGCAATCAACACCACATTACATTTGCCTTTCCTGTCACTTGCATCTGCGAACTAACATTTTTGATTCATGTACCAGGACACTCAGATCCTTTATACCTCAGCAGATGGAGTTTAATCCAGGTAAGTGTGGGATGCTGCACTCTGGGAGATCAAACGTTAAGGAAAAGTATACAGTTAATGGTAGAACCCTGAACAGCAGAGGGATCTTGGATTTCAAGTCCATAGCTCCCTGAAAGTGGCCACAGAAGTAAATAGGGTGGTAGAGAAAGTGTATGGCATGCTTGCCTTTATTGCTCGGGTTTTTGAGTAGGATGTCATGTTGCAGCATTATAAGACTTTGGTTAGGCCACACTTAGAGTATTATGTTCAATTCTGGTCGCAACATTACAGGAAGGATATGGAGGCTTTGAACAGAGTGCAGAAGAGGTTTACTAGGAAGCTGCTTGGATTAGACGGTATGAGCTGAAAGGAGAGGCTAGAAAAACTCAGGGTGTTTTCTGTGGAGCAGCAGAAGCTGAGGAGAGACTTGATAGAAGTCTAGAAAATTTTGAGATGCATAGATAGGGTTGACGATCAGAATCTTTTTCCCAGAGTTGAAATGTCTAATACTAGGGGGAAGGCATTGAAGGTGAGAGAGGGAAATTCAAAGGTGATGTGAGGGGCAAATTTTTTTTACACAGAGTGGTAGGTGTGTGGAACGTGCTGCTAGGGGTGGTGGTGGAGACAGATATGATAGGGGAATTTAAAAGACTTTTAGATAAGCACATGAATATGCAATGAATGGAGGGATATGAACCAAGGGCAGGCCAAAGGGATTAGTTTAATTTGGTATCAAGGGCCCGTTCCTGTGCTATACAGTTCTATGTTCTATCAAAAATGCATTTGAATATATTCAATGACCAGCTTCATTGTTCTCTGGAAAGCTGAAACCCAGTCACTTCTACATGTACGACTGAATCATCTATCTTGCTAATGATGCTTCATGTGTTTTGTTATTTTGCCTCAATTTTAACTTTTTACTATTATTCCTAATGTGGCCTCAGTCATTAATGCCCTTTACTGCCATTACACTCTCTGACATAACCTAATAGATTTTTTTTTTCCAAATTGCTATTATATTCTCCAGCTTTTCTCTTCAGACTTTTTAAATTTAGTCTTATCTGACCTACCTCTCTCTTAGTAACTTTATGTCCTATCTATTGTCACATTGACAGAGGCCTCTCCTCCCAGATGTTAAATCTGTAAAGTGTCAGGATGAAGCAGGGGGTCCTCACGAGTCCACGTCAGGGCCTTAAGTAGCAATGGAGCTACAGGTGCTACCCCCCCGCCACCGTTTTTACAATCACAGGGTTGATGTGGGGGGGGTGCAGGGGTGAGCAGGCCAGCAGTGGGCAAGCTGACAAACCAAGGCACCTTATTTCACCATCCCTGCTGTCCGCTTTCTCATGTATAGGTGGCTCGTAAATGTAGACAAGCCAATTATGGAGTTATGAGGGGTGTATTGGTTGAGGTAGGTTGGGAGATTAGATTTTTCAAAAATAGCATCTCATGTAAACAAGAGAGATAACAAGGTGTAGAGCTGGATGAACACAGCAGGCCAAGCAGCATCATAGGAGCAGGAAGGCTGACGTTTCGGGCCTAGGCCCTTCATCAGAAAAA